CCCGGTCCCGCCCCCACTCGCCCGGCCCCGCCCCTCCCGGCTCGCGCGCTACCGCACTGCGGCTCCCACGGATCCCTCCGCGCCCCACTCCGCAACGACGGGCCCGCGGATCGCTCATCTCTGCACAGCAGAGAGGTGGAACTTGCCCCTGGGCGCGCGCTCGAGCTCTTGCCACGGACTACTTTCTGTTGCCGCGCGCCCCGCCCCCTGTGTCCACTTCACTTTCCTCCCTGGCGGAGGGGTACCACTTGGCTGTGCGTGACGCGTCCTTCTGTGAGCCGCGCCAGGATTGGGCCCGGCCCACGGCGGAAATAAAAGCGCTGCACTGATTGGTCAGGCCTTCCCTGCAATGCGTCAAACTGGGGCGAGCCACTGAGTGATGGTGGTGGGAAAGTCTGAATGGTGTAGTTAAGTGGAGCTAAGAGGCAAAGCCAGGCGAAAGAGGAACCTTGTGACTTTTAGAGATGAAAATATATTGCTTTTGTAGCCTGGGGGTGGTACAAGGGCCGAAAGATGCAGAAAGACTTTCTCGTTTCTCCCCTCTAAGAAACGGAAGGTGGTTCAATCCAAAATCCAGGTTCTCGAAGCCCCGCCCCCAACTGGGCCCTCGGCAGCGGCGGGGTCTTCAAGAATCCGCCCATCATAAAGGTTCCTGCGAGTCTCTGTGACTTAAGGTGCATGCCGTCGCTGTGTGGCTCTTGAACCGGTCAGGTTCTGTGACGTTGGAGCCATCCCAGGACGGCCTGTGGGAGCTGAGCATGAACTCAGTCATTTATTTAATAAACATGAATTGGGCGCCTGCTGTATGCAGGAACCTGTGGTTGGCTGATTAGAGATACCGTACTTCTTCACCATCTTCTTGTCGTACACACAACCACACTTCTTATCCCAGGCTTCCAGCCATAGGAGGAAAAAGAAAGAATGCGAAGGTTAGCTGGGACTACAGTGTCTGTTTACTGGAGCTCGGAAAGCGCCCCCCCCGCCTTGTTTAGACTAGGAACTGACAGGCCTTAGTTATCGCCCCTCCCACCCCGTGGGTGATTGGCTGAGGAATGGGCCAGCGAGTCAAGCTGGGCAATCCTGGAGGCTATAGGCGGAACTCTGTGCCCGAGGAGTTTCGGACCTGGAGTTTATGGGAAGAGAAACCTTTGTCTTGGGGTGGTGAGGCTGTGAAGGACTAGGTGCTTCCTTAATCACACACTCTGTGGCCATTTTCCCACCCTGCCCTCATCGGAGGGAAGAAAGTGTCCACAAGAACAGGAATAAAAGTGTCACAGTGGAGAGGCCAAAGGCGTGTTGACATTCACTTCCCTGTTTTCAATACTCTTGAGCCCAGCTGCGCCCCATTATACAATAACTTTTTATTACATGTGCTGCGAGAAATTTTATTTTTTTCTTGAGACAGGGTCTCGCTCTGCAGTTCAGGCTGGCTTTGAGCTCATTTTGTAGCCCAGGCTGACCTTGAACTTGCAACGATCCTCCTGCCTCAGCCTCCCAAGTGCTGGGGTTACAGGCGTGCACCACCACGCCAAGTTCAGAGAAATTTTATTCCAAGCAAATCTGAGTTGAATTTCTGTCTCTTGCTGCTGAAAGATTCCTGATGGTATGAGCTGTCCTAGGCTCAGTTTTAGTTAGCAGTACTGGCCCGCGGAAGGGAGAAGGCCAAGTACGCACGCCAAGTGTTGGAAAAACACACACAATTAAAGCAGGTGCATGCTCTCTCCCTTCCCCTCGCTCTCTCCACCCCTTCTCTTTTTCTCTGCGTCTTCTTTTTTTTTTTTAATGTTTTTTTTTTTTCTGGTACCAGGAATCGAACTCACGACCTCGCGCTTGCCAAGCAAGCGCTGTGCGGCTGAGCTAATCCCCAGCCCTCTCTCTGCTTCTTTCAATACTAGGGATTGACCAGGGCCTTTGCACTAAGCTACATCCCCAGCCCCTTTTTTTATTTTTTATTTTGAGACAGGGTCTCACTAAGTTGCCAGGCTGGCCTTGAACTTGAGATCCTCCTGCCTCAGCCTCCTTAGTAATGCCCGGTTTGGGTTATGCCCTTAAAGCGTGTGTGTTACTCAGCTTTTTGTTACTACAGTGAAATGCTTGAGATAACTTGTAAACAGAGAAGTATTTTGCCTCACAGTTTTGGAAATGGTTGGTTGGCTTTGCTCTTTGGTCTGTGGCAAGGTGACACATCATAGCAGGGGGCCATGGTGGGGCAAAACAGCTCACCTCGTGACTGGGAAGAAAAATCCTCCTTTAAGTGCTCTGGCCAATGACCTAAAGCCCTCTTAAGGTGTCTATAACCTCCTAATAGTTCTGCCCTGGGAACTAAACTTTTACACAGGGGCATTTGGGCGACGTTCACGATGGAGAGGGTAGCAGAGAGCAACTCCTCTTTCCTGCTGGTGGAGCAGGCTCTGTGTTGAAGGAGAGAGATTGTGGTGAGTGTGGTGCCTGGGTCCTTGATGCTTCCTCGGAGCAGATCTTGCTTTCCCATCCTTAGGACCAAATTTTTCTATGAAAGAGCAGTAAGCGTCTGTATTGCTTTTGCCGCGATGATTTGGGGTCTTTGTTATTTTGGGTGTCTTTGTTATAGCAACCAAACACATACTTGTGGTGCATTTCCATGCTCCTTTCTGTGGCAGCTACCTTTGGTGGAAGCTGACACTTGTGCCTATTGGTGGTCTTCGTGAGTTTGTGGCTCGGGAACCAACCAATCAGGGTAGCCCAGCTTCTTGCCTCTGATTGGTTCAGAGTCAGCCGCACGACCCAATTTTGTTTTGCATATGTGGTGCGGTTTCCCTTCAACAAAATACCACCGACCTTAAGGATTCAGTTCAGTGAGCTTTGCCAGTTGCATAGACCCATGTAACCAGCAGCCAAGACAAGCCAGGGAACATTCCCATCACCCAGAACTTAGCTCCCTCGAATCTCTCCAGTCAGTTCCCCTCCCCCTCAAGCAACTTCTGATCTGATTTCTGTCAGGAGAGATTAGCTCGTTACTTTCCAGAGTTTTAGAGAAATGGAATCACGTAGCACGAATGCTTTTGTGCTTGGCTTCTTTTTGCCTAATATAAAGTCTTTTTGAGCAAATGCACATGGGGTGATATTCGTTCACAGCATTTATCTTGTTATTTATCTGAAATTTAAATTTCACTGAACATCTTGTATTTCTTTTTTTAAAAATGGTAACATTTTTATCAGTCCGTGTTTGCTGTACCTAATGCTTGCGCCTGTCCTGGGGAGATGGTGCATGTACATAACACTGCTTACTGCTCTTTACCTCCCCTTTCTCCATCTCTCCCATTTGCAAGATATCTATCTATTTTCTAAATGTGGTAACCTTAGTCTCAAAGCCCGTCCTTTGCAGGGTTGGGGAATGACCCCAGTGACCTTCCAGACTTCTACCTTCTCCATCCTATAGTCAGGCAAGAGTCTCAGTGGTGGCCCCAAATCTCCTGTGCTTCAGGAATGACCAGTAAACTAAGTGGCTGTTTGGTTTTTTTTGAGACATTGTCTCACTATGTAGCTCAGGCTGGCCTCAAACTTGTGGTGATCCTCCTGCTTCAGCCTCCTGAGTGATGAGATTACAGATGTGCACCACCATGCCTGGAACATTATATTCATATTATCAGTCCTTCTGTAGTGGCATGAATAAACTGAATTCTCATATTCCTCATATATGGGAGGTACTATTATTATCTGCATTCTTTTTTTTTTTTTTTTTTTCTTTTTGAGACAGGGCCTCACCTTATAGTTCAGATTGGCCTTAAACTCACTACTGAGCCTAGGCTGTCCTCGATCTCCAGGTGATCCTCCTGTCTTAGCCTCCCAAGTGGTGGGATTATAGGCATGACTGTCATGCCTGGCAATTACTTCCATTCTAAAGATGAGGAAGGGGCTGGGGATATAGCTCAGTGGCACAGCGCCTGCCTGGCAAGCATGAGGTCATGAGTTCGATTCCTGGTACCATAATCAATCCATCATAGTGGGTGGTGGGATTTCTAAAATACATTATTCCTACAGCTGAGGATATAGCTCAGTGGCACAAGCACCTGCCTGGCAAGCACAAGGTCCTGAGTTCAATTCCCGGTACCGAGAAAAAAAAAAAAAACTAACCAAACAAAAAATAATATTAAAATAAAGATGAGGAAACTGAGGCACAGAGAGGTTAAACTATTTGCCCAAGATTACTCAGCTAGGAAGCGGCAGAAGCAGGATTTAAACCCAAACAGGTTGGTTTCAGCTTCTGTATTCTTAGGTAAAGCAGGAAAAAGGTGAGATTTCTGTATTGAGGCACTGACCCAGAGTAGGACAAACCGATTTTATTTCAGGAAGCTCTGCAAGGGACTCACATCCCACTGAGAGCCCCAGAACGGGCTTTGCTTTCACTTTTCTACCACTCTTTTTTCTATGGAGCAACCTTTCACTGGCGGGCGGCATCAGGCAAGGTTACAGCAGCAGAACTGCGTTAGGCGACCGCGAGCCTCTGGCGGGCCTTTCCAGGGCTGGAAAGTGTGGGATTATAGGCATGCACTGTCATGCCTGGCAATTACTTCCATTCTTCCATTTATGCCTTTTTGCAAAAGCAGCCAGGGGTTGCTTGGTAAAGGAAACCCCGGTGGGGTGGGGGGGGGTTCCTCCCTCAAGTCCCCCTTTCAGGCTCTGTGTGAAGCGCTTCGTATTGACTTTTACCATCAGGGTCTGACGCCACGCAATTTTCTATTGACTGACAGATGCCCTCTGGCGCACAAAAGTCATTCTTCAATCCACGCTGGTCTCTATCACGGCGTTAAGGGCTCCCGTTATCAAGGGCAGCAGGCAAGGAGTAACCCAATAGGCCCCAATTATGATGATAAATCCTCCCATTAAAATCTTGAAACCCCCAAGGTTCAG